CAGAGAGAAAGAGAGAGAGAGAGAGAGTGAGAGAGAGAGTGAGAGAGAGAGAGAGAGAGAGAGAGAGAATGTTTTACGGAGCGGATTGTCACAGCATGTGTTATTAACGTCCTGTCTTGTTGTGAGTGTATGCGAGACAGCACCTAACCTTTGTGACGTCCACTGCCATTATTGTAAACGACCCAAGACAAATTTCTCCCTGTGAGATGAATAAAGCTTGTCCTTGCCAAAACATTGTCCCACATGGGAATCAAGCTCAGGTCTTCTACACAACAGATAAAACATGAATCAAAATCAGGTCTTTCAAACAGGGATGCCATTAAGATTTTGCAAAAATAACTGAAAATTTACCCATTCACTCAATTGCATATTAGATCTAATACTTCCTAACAAAAAAACACCCAAAAAACAAAAATCAACAGTTTATAAGCCCAACTATTATGAGGTCAAGCAGACAAAGAAATGCTGAGAATAATAATTGCTCTAGGTGAGAACAAAAATAACTGAAAAATGGGGTCTCCATTCACACTTCCACAGAGACAGTAAAGTCCAGTCACAGTTTTAAGCTTTCAAGTGGGGGGAAAAAGAGCAGTATAGGCAATGACAACAACAGTCTAAGCATTATCATCAACACAATATTGATTTTAAAAAATAAAAAAATTATAATAATAACAATGATGATGAAAACAATGATTAATAAAAATAATAATAACTATTTGATTTCTATAGCCCCCACTCTCAAACTAGACGCATACAACTTTAAAAGAATTTGCAGTAAAAAAAACCAGGAGAAATCCCCGGCGAGCAATAGTGTAATTATTTGCATTATAATCAATATTTGCACACTCCCATATATATATATTTTCTATTACACATGCAGCTGGCTTTAGAGTTAAGAAAGAGTTTTCATAAGAGTTTAACGGCACTAGTGACACAAAATTATGAAATAGGTCGGATTAGGTGTGTATGTCTGGGTAAAACTCCCCTGTCAATGATAAGAGGTGTTACCAGAGAGTAACATTCAAAGAAAAGAAGGAGAGAGATAAGGTGGACGGCTGCTTAACAGAAAACAAGGATCAAACCACACCAGAGTGCCCCCCCCCCCCAACCACCCACTTTCTTTTTGGAAGTTGAGGAGAACAATAGATGAGATCCTTCATTAAAAAACGGACAGGAATGATTGACACGGACACACATCAATTATTATAATATCATGCAGGCGTGATCAAAATCAAAATACACTAAAATAATCTGATGACACTGGAGCTTTGTGAAAATACCTGAAAATTTACAAAATTGCATTTTTGCAAAGGAAAAAGACAGTTATTAGACACAACAAATGATAACATAAGACACAACAGAAAACAGATGCTGATACTACTAAACAAGACTTCAGGAGAAACGGCTAAACAATCAAATAGTCAAGAGAAGGACACGGACACAATTATGGACATTTTGTGCAGGGGTCAACAAACTATCATATAACTATGGCCCGCAGTCCAGATGGCCAGTTCATTTGGCAAACTGCCTTGCCAGCATGTGAGGTGAAGGGGGGGGGGGGGGGGGAATTGGAGATATCTGTTAGTAGCCTGCTCAGGACTTGGTCACAATAACAAGCTCATCTTTTTATTGAACTCCCTCCCTTCGAAATCAGAATGTGATAGCCAGAAGGCAAGGGGCCCAACTAAGTTCAGTAGGAAAAACTATCACATTCGTAAAACGGACCACAGATGCTACATGGAATGTAGACGCCAAGAATTGTAATTGCAATTGTAGACGTTTTTTTACGCCCCCCTCATCCACACATTTCTGATCATTTACGAGGTGGGCGGCTGCGACCCTGCCTGTCAGGGCTGACGGGGCCTGATAAGGGTACAGCATCCCAGAAAACAGCAAGATATACTCGATTAAAATTAAAATAGAACTTCCCCCACACAAAAATCAAACCCATGTCTTTTGTATGCAACGGTGAAATGCCTAACCACCACACCACAGACCCCAGTCAGTTTTTTTTTATAGTTTAGTAGAGGGTTTTACGGCCCTCGCAACTGCATGAGGTCATATGAGCGCCAAGGGGTGGGTGTCAACAGAGAAGTCTTTTCAGGGAATCAGGCTTAGACCGCTCACCCCTCCAGCAGACCCCTGTCAGCATCTCATCACAAAGCCCTTTTCTTCTAGCACGAGTACCCTTTCAGTGTTTAGTTTTACTAAGAGTTTTACGGCACTTGCAACACAATAAATACAGTTATATAAAAATGCCGAAGAATAGATTACGTGTTACAAGAGAGTAACATACACGAAAAAGGAGGGGAGATAAGGACGACAGATGTTTGATAGGAAAGAAGGAGCAAACCACACCAGAGCACCCGCCAACCACCCACACCCTTTTCGTGTTTTCACGTCAATTACAACAAATCGCACATGATGACAACCAAAACAAATTTAGGGTGAAGAGAAAAAAAAAAAAATCATCACTCAAGCTAAGACAGTTATAATAAATAAGTGCATACTACAGGCTACAAGCTCCCAACAAATTATAGGGAAAAATAAAGCGCTTGTGCGTAAATCAAAACTTAAAACTTATTCTATCCTCATACACACACACACACACACACATGTACAACATAACACCTCCAACGAAAAAGGGTAAATTAAACATTTGTGAGGCGTGCTGACAAAATGAGTTATTTCTCGCAGTCCACAAATGGAGATATTGGCCAAAAATTGACACTAGGGTCAAATTTGTAGATGTTCTATCGATGCCATATTCTTTAGGTATAACAAACCTTTTATTTCATACTTATAAATTGTAAAAACTTCACCTATAAGTGTGATGTATCTATTTCCTGAAGGCCTGAATCCGAGAAGTAACTCATTTTATCAGCACGCATCACATTTGTGCGTAAAATAAAACTAGACACTGCTCAATCCATCCTCGCACACACATAATATAGAAAAATGCCATGCTGCCATATACAATGCGAGTCAACTTGCTGGAAATCAAAATTTTAAAGTTCCTAATCTATCATAATAATATTAATAAATAAAATCTAAGCGGTAAAAGTCAATTTCGACAATCCTGCCTCAAAATAAGTTAAAAACGTCATCAGTGCATTGGGCCACATCAATCCACATTTTACTTCACTGAGCGTGCACAAAACCTGGATATATATATATAATATATATATGCACACTAGTTCAAATCAGCTCCAAACGGAGGGCTAAAGTTTACTCTTACCATCCAAGGTACTCTTGTGATACAGGATATGTCAGAAGTGCACAAACAGTTGTCAGACGCATGGAAAAAAAATAAGTAAACTACTTTCCCCTTTCACAGACGTATCCTGGAGTGTATATAATTTCAAATTGGTCAAACGAGTACCATTCGTTTCTCCCCAGCTCCCATCTCAATCATCATCATAATCGCCTTTCTCACCTACATCAAAGTACCAGGCCACGAACAAACACTTTCCACCTTTCTCTGACCTGAGCTAGCCTCTTGATCTTATAATAATAATAATAATTGCATTTATATAGCGCATATCCATGCTCAAAAGCATGCTCTATGCGCTTTACAACTATTACTAACCCAGCAGACCCTCCGAGAACACTCAGAAACATTCTCGGCTTCCGCGGAGGCATACAGTGCAAGCTGCAGATATTCACACGCTCAAACACTATCAAACTGACAAGATGGTTCACTGTCTATAGCCGGGTACCCATTTCCACCAGGGTGAAGTGAGGAAAATTTGTGCAAAGTGCCTTTCCCAAGGACAGATTATTCCATGATCTGTCTTCCCACTTTTCTGTACATCATTCTCTGAGACTCTTTCTGCTGGTTCCACGTGGCCTTCCCCTTGATCCCCGCCCATCCATCTCAAGGGCAGGGTGAAAAACTCGGGAACAAATAGCTCCCTTAGAATTACAAAAGTGCTATCTGCTCAGTACCTAGTTTTGAGAAATTTGGCGTAAAAATTTTTTTTTAGTTTCACAATATCGTTGCCTCAGAGCTATTTTGTCCAAAGTGCCTCTTTACTCACAACGATCTTACGATTTTGATAGAGCAGATAGAGCATTTGTGGGACGTGCTGACAAAATGAGTTACCTCTCGCAATCCACAAATGGAAATATTGGCCAAAAATCAACACTGGGGTCAAATTTTCTATTGCGATGCCATATTCTTCAAGTATAACCGGTTTTTATTTTTTTATACTTCTAAACTGTAAAAATTTCACCTATAATAAGTGTGATGTATCTTGATTCTATTTCAATAAGGCTTGAATCCAAGAAGCAACTCGTTTTGTCAGCACCCTTCACATTTAGTATCTGATCTCATGGTCTTAGTAACTCATAACAGACAAAAAATGTCAGATAGAACTTTGTCATTCTGAGATAGTCAAGTGTCCAATGGTAACATGGTGTTTTTTGGAGTCTGTCATCCGGTCATTGGACTCTGACCAGACTCAGAAAGTTTTTCACACGGAGGGGGGAAAATGCACACATCATGTAAGCCTACCTACACAGCAACGTGGTGAACGTTTGGAATAAATATGACCCCTTCCCCCTGACTCCCCCCTCCCAAACCTGAATCACAACTACCATGAACATTTCCCAAACCCAGGGGGGAGATGGTAGGGGAAGAAGGGGTAAGTGTGTACCGGTGCACCATTTTGTCATTAGACAAAAATAATCTTTGAACTACAAGAGTAAAAGTAAGGAACTCCATTTTCGTTTTATTCCCGCAGCTAAGCAGGAACAATTTAATGAAATAGTAAAAAAACTGTAGATAACTTATGCTCACGTAAAAATAACCTTGAAAATAAAACTCAAGGCATATCTTACCGCCACTGCCCCCCACATACCCCCCTCCTCCTCAGCCCCATCTACCTCTCCCCTCCCTCACATCAATGTTCCCCCCCCCCCCCCCCACCCACCACCAAACCACCCAGTGGTCAACATGAAAAAAACCCTGAGGTTCACTCCTTCATTTGGACATGCGCTTTTGCTAATATAAAAGAATAAAAGTGTATTTTGAGATCTCTATAGCCCGTATATTTACATCGTAGAACATCGCTGTCGTCAGTAGTAGTCGGTGATGTATCCGTGGTCAATCCCGTACATGCCCCGCCAGGAGGCGTAGCAGTGGCAATGCATACGGCCTGACACCGGGCTGGGGCGTAAACCGCTGAGGGGAAAAAGAGGAAAGAGAGGAAAGTTTAGTTATCGGTTTGTTTTAGTAAGGTTTTACGGTGCTCACAACTGCATAAAAGGTCATATGAGCGCCAAGGGGTGGATGTTAACAGAGAAGTCTTTACAGGGAATCAGACTTAGACTGCTCACCTCTCTAGCTTCAACAGCACAAGGTCTGCTTTGACTATCAAGGCACCCCGGAAATAGCAGTTCACAAGAGACTGACAAACATACAAAAGAATGAAGGGGAAAATGACGATAGTAAGGATGAGGGGAAAAAAGCAGCAGTTCTCCCTGTGTTGTTTCGGCACAGTAAGAGCATGACATTGAAAAGTCAGCCCATTTACAATTCTACTGTGCATTAGAACCTGTTAATATCCCCCCTTTGGAAAGGACCTAAAGTTTTGTTCGTTTGAGAAAAGAGAACCACATCAACACAATAATGGTCATTTAGCGCTGGGAAAAAGTAAGACAGACAGAAATAACAGAGGGAAAGTAAACAAGTAGGAACTCCTACCAGTGGTGCCCTCTAACCATCCATGGAAAGTTCTCAGGGTAATACAAGTGCCAAAAGTAAAGGCAAAGGCGTCACAAGAAAGAAGGATGAGAGACAAGGACAATAGATGTTTAACCGGGAAAAAAGGAGCAAACACATCAGAACACCCGCCAACCACCCACAAAAAGGGAAAGAGAAGAGAAGAAAGTAAAGAAAGAAGAAAAATTGAAATTGCATTTTTCTTTCTAAATTAAAAGTGTACATGTTCAACACTGTTAGCTTATTTAAGAAAGTGACTATCAAATATGAAATGTCTGCTACACATCGGAAAAATGACTATCACTTTTGAAACAGCAGAATCTTCAACAAAATAAAAGTGACTATCACCACTTGATTTCAAAATTGGAAAATTAATATCCTCCCTTCTGAGTTCACCATCACAGACAGTGGCGCCCTCCAACCACCCTCACTTCTCCATCTTATAAGACTTGGTGTTGACAGTTCCGGAGAACATCACGGGTATTCCTGCCTCACAAAACCTTTTTCTTTCAATTTGGGGGGTGACCACCCCCCCCGTGACAAAATTTAGAACACCCAAGCACGGAACGACTTACATTCATTCTATAAAAATTCTTCCCACTCACGAGTCAGACTCGTGCCTCTAGCACGTGACTGCAACGCACCTCCCCGCTAAACCACAGACGATTATACATCTTTCCACTCGGGAATCGAACTCATGTTTCTTGCATGCGACAGCGACGCACCTCGCCGCTACACCACAGAGGCTGATGTATATACACTATCACAAACAACAAAGCGTCAACTTTAATTGGGTCAGAAGGCAAAGAAAGACAGACGACCAACCTGCAGGTCATGTAGCTGCACTTGCCGCTCTCCGGCGTCTGGGATTTCAGACTCGTCCTCTCAGCCTCCTGTCGCCGGGCGTCCGTCGACAGCGGCAAACTCTCCATTTCCATGGACGACGTCTGAACCCCAGACGCGAGGACATTTGTCGACATAGCAACCGCGTCGCTAACTGAAAGCTCCTGGTGCGCACTGCTGCCCAGATTGTTGTTGTTGTTGTTGTTGATGATGATACTGCTGCTAGTGTTGCTGACCCAGGGGGAGGTAAAGCCGTGGCTGGTGTTCATTGAGTTGTCGCAACCTTTTCCATCCTCCACCTCCTCCTCCATCTGCATTTCGTCCATACCGGATGGTTCAATGTCCCCAGGCTGTCGGAAAGAAATTGGCTGTTTGTTAGAATACTGTATACTGGGTTTTTCCTTGAACAACCTGAATTCCCAATTTTCACATCTTTAAATAAAGAGATTCACAAATTCAAGCCGTTTGAGAAAAGCTGAAGTTAAAATGAGAAAAGACATGACACTGGGCAACTCATATTGTGAATCTATAATATTCACAAAATATGAAACGGGCAAAACAGGGGAAAAATGCACAGTATGTTTTACTGCGCTATCAGAATTATCATCACAATTCGGTCAGGTTGGGTCAGTAGTCTAGTAGTTAGACACCGGACTTGTAATCATGACATTGCACATTACAGGGTCTGAGGCTCAGGTCATAATTTACGATTAGTTACAAATGACTGATGGAAATGGAATTAAAGACAAAAATAGAATTTTATGCATATGCAAATCCCATCAGGGTTCCCCCATTGGTCGACCCCCCCCCAAATAAAATAAACGGAGGGCTCAGATTTTATCGGAGTACTTGGCAGCTCCATTATAGTGAGTTTCTACAGCTTTCCAGACAAAAAAGATTTTCCTCACTCTATTAAGATCTTCCTCACCACTGGCACAGGTCCACAACTTGCAGTGAACAGACCCAGAAATAACCTTGATCTACTACGCAGGGCTGCCCACCCACCAGCATATGTTTTAGCAATCAAAAGATAGAAAATTAGTACACGGCTTAAAAATTCGAAATATGGCCATGGAAAATCATCTTCGATGGGGGTGTCAAGGACAGAGGTTGTGGTCCAGTGAAGTATAAATGTAACGTAAACAAAGGCGTAATTATACAAAAGGGCAGGAATTTTCTAACACTTTGTCAATCTAACGTTTGCCTTACTCCTGGCTTTGACAATTCAATGCTAGTCTAAAGTCCAATGTTTTTCTTACGGGCAAAGTGGCAATGAGCGATCGCAAGGGCTCATTGCTAAGACGGTGTCAATATACTGTTTAAAGTTAGACAGGTGCACGTGATGTAAACTGTCCGAGTGTGAAAGATTTTTTTTTCTATTGTTCTCCCCTTATGCAGTACTAGCTGAGCCCCCTTTTGATGAAAGGAATGATCGGTGCATTGACGTCAGCCGAAAGTCATTGGCTTATGATATTTACGTTCTACCGGAATGGAGCAAATCTTGAGAGATGCAAAAATTAGAAGGTTTAGATCTATACTCTCAAAACAGTGCGCACGGTTAGTGAACGGAAACCTACTTTTCTAAAATTACAGAGACAGAAGCGTCGGCCAACAAAAGCGATCGGCGAAATAAAGAAATTTAATTTTTAGCAGCAAAACTGTCTCGAAACTGAAAAAACGAAGGGCGTCATGAACTGGAGAATATTTTAAAGAATCTTTTGGCGAAAACCACATGTCGATCGATGCAGCCATTAAAAAACCTTTTGAATAGCAAAATTCGGCCACCATAAATAGATAATAGATACTCCCGGAAGGTTGACAGTGGGTTGGGGTACCCAAAATGTTTTTTAAAAATCGGTATCAGGGGTAGTACAATCGCATTTTCATGTTGTTGTTGATTTCAAATCCATTTAGATGCGAGCATTTCGCTCTTGGCAGCTCAATGCCTCCCTCAAGTAACGACATGTCCTTGTCATCTGGTCAATGCCAGAGTAGAGCAGGCTATGTAAGTCTGTAGGTGTGTGTAGGAGCCTGCGTTGAAGAACTGCCAGGTTTGGGCAGTGAAGGAGAAGATGTTCAACGGTCTCCTCGTGGTAGTTACAGTGTCTGCAATGGGGTTCCCACATGGGGTTAATTCTGTTTATGTGCTTGTTGGTGTGTAAGTGACCTGTGCGGGCTCTAAAGATCAATGTCTGATCGGCTCTACATAAAAGATTCAAAGGGTCTTTGGGGTTGGGTTTGTCCATGTACCTGAAAAGAGATCATCCTGTTTCTGCGTTGGCCAATCTGTTTATCGTATTTTCATAAAAATCGTAACAATTCCACAAAATTAGCAATGATGGGCAGCCCTGCTACATGATCACAGCACCCACCAACCACCCGTACCCACATGCACTCACCACAGAGCACACACCGCCAAGCACCCCGTTGTGGTGCGCGCTGCCTGCGTAGTGGTGGTGGTGGTGGTTACGTTTGTTTACCTCGGCAGCCTGCGTGCGAGATAGGAAGCCGCGTGGGAGGTCGCCATTGACCTTGTCGCCAGGGATAGGTATGGACGGACTCTGAGACAAGCCGTGCTGTGATGACATCATCCACGCCGAGAGAGGCGGGACCTCTGATGACGGGAACGCGGCGCTCTGAGCAGACATGAGAGGAGGAGGCATATCCTTGAGACAGCCCGGTAGACCCTCAAGCTGAGTCTAGGCAGAGAGAGATGGGTTTTTTGTTTGGTTTTTCTTTAAATAGGTGATTTTTACACCTCCATCAAAACAATGTAGAGAGAAGCATGTCAACACAATAACAGTTTTAGTTTTAGTAGAGGTTTTACGGCGCTCGCAACTGCATAAGGTCATATGAGCGACAGAAGATTAGAGGTGTTACGAAAGAGTAACAAACATAAAAAAGAAGTAGGGGAGATAAGGACGATAGATGTTTGATAGGAAAGAAGAAGCAAACCACACCAGAGCCCCCGCCAACCACCCACACGCAACAACAGTCACAATCTAACACGTACGTAGACGTCAGACAGAACTGAGCCCCGAACCAACCCGCAATCTTTCTTTTTCATATCCACCGGCCTAAACGCTACTAGACTACCAACCCCATGCAAAATCAGGATCGGCCAACACTTTATACAAAGGAAGGAAACAAAATAAGAGACAGACTCTACCCTGTGAACGCTGGCTGCCTGAGTCTCCTTGGGAAAAACTGCTATTTATAGATTTCCCCCCATGGTATGCCTAGATGTGTTCTTTTGTCTGTTCGGTGTGCCTGTGTTCTGTGGGCCCCCTTCATAGCCCACCTTTCAGAACACCTGAGTGGAACTTTGAGTCTGAACTACACTGTTAAGCACTTCCCAAGATCGATTATCTTCTTTTTTTTTCGGAAGGAAAAAGCATTCTTTGCTTGTTTCAGTGGTAGATGATAATATAGTGTAAAGTGCACAGAACTTGCAATCGAGCAGGGAAATGCATTATACAATTACAAATTCAATTTATTATTATTATTATTACTCGTTGGGGTACAGTTAACAAAACATTAAAGCCATTTTTTCCCATAAATAACAATTTGAAAAAGAAGCCCTTTTATTCTATATTAAGAAACATGTAAGTAGGTGCCCATGGACAAAGCAAATATCTTAATTCTAGAATCAAGATCAATGTTCAAAATCAAAGTCTTTTCAAAGAAATAAATACATAATGAATAGTAATTAATCATGAAAAAGTAAGTATGGATAGGAATTTTTTTTTTCCAATCATCTCCTTAAGCCTTGAAATAATAGATTCATTACAGAGTACGGATGTAGGAATGCCATTTGGATTTACTTGGAAATAAATGAAAATTTATGCAGTTGCATATATGTGCAAAACAAAACAAAAAATTAGTAACAACTAATATGGGGTTAAACAGCTAACAAATGTTCAGAATAATACCAGTTCTTCTGGTGAAAATAATGGAAATCCAGGGAAAAACAAATAAATGGCATCAAAGTATGCACAAATGCCCAACCTTAGAGAATGTTAAACGTACCTGCACTTCGAACTGATGGTCTCCATTCTCAGGAGGCCAGACGCAAACACGCTTCGAGGGAGCAGTGAGCATTTCAGCCTGTGGACACAATGAGAACCTAATTCATTTTCAAAAGAACCAAACCCTATTTTTAGGCTGAATGACTGTACTAAAAATATAGGCAGTATAAACAAAGCACCTAAGGCGACCTACAGCTTTCTGAGTGGGTTGTTAAAGGCCGATTTACACTGTTTTTCTGTTTCCTTTGCTTTGTTGTAATAAAACACCAAACGCTGTTCACCTTTAAAAAATTAAGCTTTTCCTTATCAGGGATGAGAATGGCATCACAAAAAGACTGAAAACTAGGGAAAGTAATGGAAAACCAGCATTCCTGACCTCACATGTCTGCAAGCCACGACCACAAAATCCAAACTGACCTCACACAGAGCTGTCTTGTCATTCACATCTCCCGGGACTTTGCGCTTCTGCGTCAAGCCACGATGGGAAAACGCTGCCATGTCTCCAAACCCGAACCCATCCATATTCTGACTGTGAGACAGCGGCATCATGAAAGATGAATCTCTGGATATCAGACCTGTTGATCAATATGATGAACAATTAACATAGATAAGCACCAGCTGTTTTTTAAGAAGTTAATTTTTAAAATTGACTCTTCAATTTTTGTTTTGTGGCTGTGAAATGCACAGTCAGCATTCTCCGGTTTGGGCCCCAAGAGCACTGGATATACATCGATACTTACTGACTTAGTACTCAGTATCGGTGTTTTATAATCTGAAAGAGAGCGAGAGATGCGCTGCTATTTTTCAGTACAAAATTAGCAGTAACTTAATATTTTTTAACGTATTTTTAACAAGGAGGGTTTTAGGGGGGCTTACTTGGATATGGTGGTCCCAACTTTTGTGACAGGGAAATATAACTTAACCTAAAGAAAATCTAGATTAGAACAATTACTTCTGGTTCTAAGTCTAAACAATTACTTTTTGATTCGCGTGCCGGAGAGATAGCCTTTCAAACCTAATTGCAAAAAAACATCAAGTCGTGGTCAAATTCAGAGGGGCATGCCCCCCTGAACCACCCCATGTTTTTTTTTTTTTTAGGCCACCTCTATTCTCACCCGGAGTGAGAATAGTGCAGGCGAGTCTTGTGGCTATTCTCACCCGGTGCGCGTTCACCAAATTTTGCGTTCACACTAAACCACAGAATTCTACACTGTGATAACAGAAAAATTGTAGAATTCTGTGCCGTGAACAAACGTTCCATTACAATTGTAGCCTACTAAAAGCGTACAATTTTGTCTGTGGGCAGTGGAGAGAGAGAGAGAAAGAGAGAGAGGAGTAGCGCGAGAATTTCCGGGCAAAACAAAATGGCGACCCGCGTAGTTCGGCTCGATTCGAAAAGTTAAATAGCCATAGCATCTTTGTGGACAACTAAATTTATTTACTTTTGTGTTTTAACATCATTTTTTAACTTTGTTTTGGTCAATTTGATCGTCCACACCGATAGACAGTATTCAGAAAGAGACGGAGAGAGAGAGAAGAGGGGAGGAGTTGATCTTGCGAGAACTTCCGGGCGGGTGAGAATAGCCACTTTCTTTTTTTAAGTCAGGGGGGGCTTTCTGACTTTGTGAAAAACAAGTGAAATTTTACTGCTCATTTTGTAGGCTAGATTTAGAATCTAGGCTACTGATAAAACATAAAACATTGATACCGACTATTTGAATCAGTATCGATATTTCAGTTGCCTACACTTACACTACACAAAAGTCTGGATCACCATCCAAGTCCAAGTAGTGCCAGATCTAATCACATGCGATTAAAAGTAGAAATGATGCAAACTATTTTTAGGTAAGGCGCCCATCTTGTTTGACGTCAGACCAGGATACCCCTCCGATCACGTGACTACATCTAAGTATAGACAACCGCACGGCACCAAAGATGGAAGTGTCTATGTATATATTATGCTTAATCTACACCATTTTTCGGAAGTTCTGATAGCTGATTTGATAGCGCGTCTGCGTTTGATGTCGAGCAATGACTTTTGGAGCGGTTCGATTCCGGTCCCGGACAGTTTTTCTTTTCTCTTTTCCTCCTCCCGACTGACCAACAGTTCCATAAATTATAGGCCTAATTTGTAGAGTTACTTTGACTTTGAAGTTGTTTATTTTTTAAAATGTATTAGTGATTAAAAATGCAGGAGGGGGGGGGGGTTGGTAGATCTAAATTTAGATATCTAGATCTAGATCTAGAACTAGATATTATCTAGATTTCTAGTCCTCCTGCGTCTTTACGGCAATTTTCGTGCGGTCTTCCATCATGTCCAGGTAGGCCTAATAGATCTAGATCTAGATTAGATCTAGGCTAGAAAATCCGAAATGTTACCGAAAACACGTCGTTCCATGTGGGTATCCCAGGAAGTGATGACATTACATTACTAAAATTAGCAGCCAATCAGAAAGATGCGTCATTTCTAAGTTTAACGGCATGTGATCTAATCTAGCCTAAGACCTAAGACCTAAGATCTTGAAATAAGATGTTTTGGCACTTAAGTTAGAAATACAAGAGGCTGTATGCCTTCCTATCAACAAAACCGACCATATAAGTCAGAAGTACGGGTCAGTTTGTCAAAGAATGCATGCACCAGTGCCGAAGACTAAACCACTGGCGACCACGCTTGAGGCGCTGACCGGTGACGATAGACAAACGTTGGGAGTCCGAAATGTGCCGGTAGTTCGAAAACAGGAGTGGAGCTATACAATGGCATGGTAATAAAACTAAGTCGGTCAAACATGAAGTAATGACCAGCCTGTTTTCAGTTTACAAATTACCTTTTGACATAAACACCTTGTGTATGATCTTGGCGTTCAATCTTGAACAACGCGTTTTGTTTTGACTTTCCTCGCGTCTCCCTCAAGCTTTTCGTCTGATCCAAATTTAGTGCTCCAGTCACTTACAGCTTTTAAAAACATACATTTTAATTTCAAAGTATACAAATTTTAGGACATTCTACAAACATTTCAGGGTATCAAAGTTCATAGAAATTTAGCTATTAAGATATTTTAAAAGTGTGTTTACTAAAAGTTAGCAATAAACGTCTGTTCTTAACGTTGTAAGTGGAATCCGTTTGTTTTCTTCCGGACAAAGGGGAAAGGCCGTACCATAGATATATTCTGTGACTGAGACATACTAGTTTGAACACTGTCATGGCCACCGCTCTCTTTAAAAAAAGGTAAACCTTCAGTGTACGCTTCACCGTATTATTTTATCGCACCTTTTCGGCCAAATGAGAGCAATTCAAGGAAGTTGCATTGTTTTGAGGTCCTTAAGGGGCAATCTTTAAGTAGCCTATGTCCTGTGCAAGTGCTCTGACTTGGGTTTCAAAACATTTTACTGAAGGGTATCTAGATATAGATTTAGATCTAGCATGTATACCTATGCAATATTTTCTCGTAACAATTATTTCTTACTAAAGCCTTTGATCGAATAAGTCTCTGAAAAAAAAAGAAAACTAATTGAAAAAGTACGCTACTACCTTTAACTACTATTAGTAACAGCAGCTAGGCAATGGTGAGATCAACACTGTACACAGTTTTCATAGTCACAAACTCAGTCCCGGGGGGAAAAGGGGGGGGGGTATTAGTCCCGGGGGGGTGGGAGGGGGGGGGGGTATTCCTTTCTTTATACTTTATTTATTTCTAGCTGTGTGCAGTCTGTAGGCTTCATTTAACCTACCTACTTTTTTTTCCAATTAAAACGAAAAAATCAATTGAGAGAGGGTTTTTTTTAATCATTGTTTTTCTAAAGGTAAATTTTATACAGCAACATTGACTTGAGGATTGAGGAAGACACATATTCTCACTATAGAGTGAAGTGCACACGGCACCTTATGCCCCCTTCCCTTACCTTTCATTTTGGCTCTCATTATAACGCGCTCCATCTTACAATGAATTCCTGGAACGTCAAAATGCGCAATCTATGGGGAAAGCACGCTCAAACATGTTCTAATAATAGACATGATGGCTATGTTTCCGTGTATAGTGTTTGAGTACGGTAAGCTAAGATGACTTTTTTTTTACGATGTAGGCCTTTCGGAATCGGAAGGATATTGACAATAAATAATTCCTGATTAACATTAGAGAGGATACACTGATTTATTTTTCACGGCCACCTTTAAAATAATTTTTTTATTTTTTATTTTCATTCCTCATGGCCGCGCAGAGTTCTTTTTTGTACTGTTCCCATGTAAATGTAACACCATTTTACTTCTTTTGTTATTATGCTTACCTTTGCCTTTAGTCGTTAGCCTTATTTAATTATATGAAGTGCAAGCTGTCTAGTTGTACCTATAGGCTACTTTTGTCTAGTAAAATTTTGGAACTATAGATGAAAAATAAAAGCGCATATAATTCACGACCATAATAATAGATCATTATCAATTGAACATGTCAGAACCCGCCCCCCCCCCCCCCCCCCCCCCCGAATCTATATCTTTGTCTGTCTATCCCTTTCTCTGTCTCTCTAGGGGGGGGGGGGTCATATTCAGATGCTACCATGTCATAATTAATTTAATCTTCTTTTTAAAAAATAGGTGTAGCCCAAGGAGTTTGGTGTAGCCTCTACTGTCTCGCTGTAATTCTACAATTGCTATATTTCCAAAGAAATTATATTGACGCTGTTAGCATTTGTTTTTGTATAATTTGTTGTTGAAGTAGAGGGTCGAAATAAAAGTTATGATTTTAAACAGATACCCATTTTAATTTTGGTGTCCTCACTTTAATAATAATAATAATAATAATAATAATAATAATAATAATAATAATAATAATAATAACAATAATAATAATAATAATAATAATAATAATAATAATAATAATAATAATAATAACAACAACAAAAACAATAATAATAATAATAAATAAATAAATAAATTAGACTTTTATTTGTCCCAGAAGGGCACTTTGTTTTACAATGGCACACATACATACATAAATACATAATTATAAATACGTATACATACATATATACATACATGCATAAATACATATAAATACACACTATTACACAAATACAGAACAGTTTACAAACAATGCCACTGTCGGTCGCCACTGTGCAGCGCCCGGTGATTTGAGCGAGGGTTGTCGTGTCTTGCTCAAGGACACACTCCAGAGACCACCCATCTGATCCCCGTGTCACCGACACTTGCTTTAACTTTAAGTCTAAGACTAAAACTAAGAGCGTTTTCTTTATTTTTTGTGTTGTTTTGTTTTGTTTGTTTTGGAGTTGTTGTTTTTTACCCTTTCCCAACCGGATAGGCAATATTATAATGTATACACCCACTGACCACTTTGAAAGGACGTAACTCCGTATGCGTTCAATGATATTCAATCCACACACTTTTACTTCTTTGTCATCCTCAAATGTGGTGTGTTTAACGTTACGCTGTGATCTATCAGAATGTTCAAATGATAAATGTGTGGGAGATCGACTTACTGTTAAAAAAAATTTTATGGCGATTATATTCCTACCGGGTGGGTACGTTGTCCACCCATACACTTATGTCACTTTGTATAGACTTTATGGAGAGGATGATCAGACAGGTTAATGAGTGAAATAATCCCAACTAACAACAAGTGTGAAACAAGAATTTCGAAAAAAAAAAAAAAGTTATAGAGAGGCGTGAAATAAATGGAATTAACTTTTAATTTTCCACAGAAACTTGAAACGTGAACAGAAATAAGGAGACAATTAAGTTTAAATTAAGCTATTGTCAAGGTGCGAGCTGATCACTCCCTCTCAAAAAGGCATGCCGTCGGGACCATGGCCCGGGGCGGTGCTTCTGACTCAAGTGTCTTTAGGCCATTCCAAAGGTGGGGGGGGGGGGGGGGGGGGGGGGGGGGCGCAATTAAACCATGTTCTTATGCAAAGTAGAATTGTAATTTTGTACATGGGCTGATTCATCAATGTCAATGTCATGCTCATAACTGCCTGAACTGCTGCTTTTTCTTTCCTAATCCTTGCTATCGTCATTTCCCTCTACCGGTACTTCTTTTCTTTAGTATGTTTGTCACTCTCTTGTCAACTGCTATCTCCGGGTGCTTTGATAGTCGACTTTGTGCTGTCTAGAAAGGTGAGCAGAGTAAGCCCGATTCCCTGTAAGGACTTCTCTGTTGACGTCCACCCCTTGGCGCTCATATGACCTTATGCAGTTGTGAGCCCCGTTTGACTCGCGACCGCAATGTCGTGGGTTTGAATCCCGTCAGGGGACCAACATTGTGTCCTATTGGGAAAGGCATTTTACACTAATCACATGTATTATTTTCCTCACATCACCTTTGTGGGAATGGGTACCCAGTTCAAGTCATATTATAATTTAAATAGATAGTGAAAGATCTTGTCAGTTCGTTTGTGTTTGAGCACTTAATCAGCTGCTTGCACTGTATGCTTCCCGGGAAGGTGAGAATGTTTCTGAGTGTTGTATGGTCTGCTGGGGTAATAATATAGTGTGCATCTCTATTATTATAGCTTGCTGTCGAGCGGGGATGCGCTATACACATGCTATTTATTATAATTACTAACTCAATTATTCCTTGATAAGACGATAAACGCTCCCATTGACACAATTTAGGAGCAGGCTGCTTAAATCCTGTCCATAAAGGCCGACCCAGATTGACAAGGATACGTAACACACATCATGTACCCTACATGATGTATAACAGTTTGTTACAGAGTCTCCATCTGTCTACTGGGATGTTTGTAGCCTACATATTCCCACTTCGCCTGGGTTGGTTCTGAGCCAGAGTTGAAACAGTCTACTAGCCCAACTCACCTAAGTTGTAGGGCCTACATTATTTACAGTTAAAATTCAATAAACATATACACTAATTTATTTTATATATATATAAAAATATATATATATATATATAAAATAATTTACAAAACCAATCCTTCCCCGCCACCCTACCCTGCCATATTACCTAGTCTAAAAATTCATTTCTAGTATGCAATGGGCCCTCTCCCTCAACCTGCTAATCATAACTATTACTTTTAATTAATTTGAGGGCAATTTGACTTTGTCAAGTAAAACTCATCCTTGAAGAGTAAGGGTTCAAATCCTCAAACAGCAAGCGTTAACATCCCTTCCATTTCCAATTTTCCAGCAGGTGGCTGAAAGAAGACACATCCTTCTTCTTTGTTCTCCCACTACCGTACTGACAATCAGTCTTGCATTTTCCTAACCCCAAAATCAGTGTAGGTGAGATTCGTTTCAGAATTTGAAATCTTGTTGCAAAACCGGCACCTTCCCTTTTGAATTCCAAACAAAACTAGAGCTAAAACAACACAGAAACAAGCTGACAAAAAAGAAAAAAAACAACAAATCCCTCAAACATTTCGTAGCATTTATTCATGGACCAGTGTGATTTTGATTCTTTTATTGGGTTTTTCTTTTTTTTGACAGGATAAATTATGGGCAATAAAATGATCATCATATATAATCATAGAGATTGCAATTTCACAACAGAGTCTATAGAAAGACGTCTCACATTACTTGCAACATCGATGCATGCACATTTAAAGTCAAAACGACTGAAAAATCATTGGTAGAGTAGTGCCTACATCGTGGACAGAGATTCAAAGAAACAAGAAAAGAAGTAGAAAGAAGATGAAACACTTCTGTTTGTTTTAGTAAGAGTTTTGCAGCACTTGCAACCCAATTAGATCATATAAGTGACGGAGATTAGAGGAATTACAAGAGAGTTGTAACAAACACAACAAAAGAAGGGGGAAAGATACGGACGGTAGATGTTTCGACAGGAAAAAAAGAGAGAACAATACCACAGCAACTGTCAAAACCAACGAACACTTTTGTCATTTAATTCATATTATATTGCACAAATTGGTTAATTTAAGTACCATGGCAGCATTATCCAAAACTGCAGACTGCCTTGACGACGTCCATCAAAGACTTAAAAATTCATGGATCACTATTGTGAAATAAAAACTAGATCTATCTGGAAGTCAAAGATCCTTTCATTTAAGACGAAATTAAAAATATATAATAAAGCAATATTTTGGCTGTATTGACGTATGGCTCAGAGATAGGGAAAACAAACAAAACAATTCAACGAAAAATAAAAAGCTTCCAAACAAAATATTTACGGAGAATTTTACTTATAAAATTGAATAAATTTTCTACAAATATATGAAGTGTTGGAAAGAGCTGGAAATGAAGATACATGTATCAACACAACCATAAAAAGGAGAAGATGGAGATAGTTTAGTTTTAGTTTTAGTAGAGGTTTTACGGCACTCGCAACTGCATAAGGCCATATTAGCACCAGAAGATTAGAGGTGTCACAAGAGAGTCACAAACATAAAAAAGAAGAAGGGGAGATAAGGACGACAGATGTTTGATAGGAAAGAAGAAGCAGACCACACCAGAGCACCCGCTAACCACCCGCAGATGGAGATATCTAGGACATGTTCTAAGAATGCCGAAGACAAGAATGCCCTATCACACATGGTGTTGGAGACCAACTGGAAAAAATAAATCGAGGAAGGCCAAATGGAAGCTATCTGTCGCCGTGGTTTTATGCACCCTGCATAATTTAGCAAAATTTGATCATTTTTTGCATAATTTCTGATTATTTTCCTTTATCATTCTTTGTTAAAATTAACAGAATCGCATAATTTCGCATTTTTGGGCTCAGTTTGCATAATTTCGGAATTTTTCTTGCATAAAACTACGGGGACAGAGCTATAGAAGCACAATAAGTAAGGGATGAGGCAATCACCCAGGGCCCAGGGCCTCGATTTGCCGAAATTGGAGGACGTGGCCAGGGACAGGCAACCGTGGCGTTGACTGCTCTCCGCCTTATGTACCTGACGGTATAAGGAGAGAGTAAGTCAATGGCGTCTATTGTTGTGTGGCTATTAGTGTCAGGTTCTCAGCTATTGTATGCCAAAGACTAAGATAGCAGTTAGATTCCCACGTGCAGAGATTTTATTTTAACAAGTACAGAATAAATTAAATGATATGTTATAAATATATCTGTACAATTAACTCTGAGAAGTTGGCACATCTGATAACGAAAATAATACACCGCATTTATACAGCACATTTCCATAATTTGCAATGGTCAAGGCGCTTTAGTAGACATTTAAATATATAAATTATAGTCTATAATGGCTTAAAAATAAAACATGCAGCACTTGCACACAAGGGCATATATAAAATGACTCAAATACAATACACAGGTAAATCAATGTATAGAGTTACATGAATATAGGAATACCGACAGGAACAAAAGCGTGTATAAACAATTCATGTAAACAGTACTAGAAGTATGGATCAAAAGTGCTTTCTTGTTGTATCTCTGTTTCTAATAACAGCGAAAACATTTCATAACAAAGAGTGAGCTTAAGAAGAAGTCACACTTTCACTGTTAAAAAAAATGGAGACACGACAAGAAAGCATGGAGGTCGCGTAATGTTTCTGGCACAAGGTTTCGGTAGTCTAATCTTAAAGAATGCTTGACAAATGTGTTATTTTTTTCCTGACTCTTTAAGTGGCTACCCCGTGCAAATCTAGAACCACACACTTTACATCTGGTCGTTAAGACTTTTCTCCTATGTATGTTTGTTGTTCCTGATGCTTTAAGCTGTTCACACGTGCAAATCATTTATTATAAATCACAAACTTTCACAACTGCATGTGGCTACCAAGCAAACCTTGCTTGTGTGTGTTGCTTATAGTGTGGTAAAAAATTCGTGGAGCAACGTATCCTCAATTATCTCTTTAACAGAGGTGCATCAATGTCACCCATACTTTGCACACCAGTTTTTATCAACCTGTCTTAATTTTTAATCATACATGTATTTTTCCCACAACAGTTGGAGCTAGATTAAAAAACTTTTCTTTCTAAATTTATATAAAATACTATAAATCTCCTTCACGCGGAGAACGGGATTGTTCAAAAGCATTTTGCATGTATGTGGCCAACAATGACACTTTTAGTTTACAAGAAATTAATTTCAAAGTGAACACCTTTTTTGCTTTCAATAAGCATAATGTTGTGATTAGAAAAAAAATGACGGACTTGCTTTTAAAAGCAATATTGCCCAAGTTGTAAACCTTTCAAAATCTGTAGAAACCACCCACTGGGATTTTTAATTAGTATTTATAAGGAATTTTCTAGAAAACAGTCAACAGGAATTTACAAAAATTTTAACGTTAAAACAAATTGATACAAGTCACTGTGAAAAAGCTGGAGAGTCTATGTTCGATAGTTGAGGCAATGCTTGACAATAAGTTGCGCCACAAATTTTTGACCGCAGTATTTTGATTCTTTACGCAGTCAGCATGTGCAAACAATTTACAAATATTCACAAACTTTCACAATTGTAAGGTTTTTCTAGTGTGTATTATTTTTTCATGGATCAGTAGATTAAGCTTCTGAGTAAACTCAGCTCCACAGATTTCACACTTGTAAGGCTTTTCTCTTGTGTGTGTTCTCATATGTGCTGTCAAGCGACTGCTCTTAGGAAACTTCACACCACAAACTTCACACTTGTACGGGTAAGGCTTTCCTCCTGCGTGTGTTCTCATATGCACCGTCAAGCGGTCGCCCTGAGCAAACCTAACACCACAAACTTCACAACCGTAAGGCTTTTCTTGGCTATGTGTTCTTTCATAATGAGTCTTCAAACCGTATCTCGATGTAAACCATTTACCACAAACTTCACATTTGAACGATTTTTCTCCAGTGTGCGTTTTTTTATGTCTCTTTAAATAGCTTTTTAGTGCGAACTGTTTGCCACAAACTTCGCAGCCGTAAGGCTTTTCTCCTGAGTGCGTTTTCTCGTGGGCGTGTAGATTGGCTGTGTTTATGAACCTAAGTCCGCAGACTTTACATTTGTAAGGCTTTTCTCCTGTGTGTGTTCTAGTATGCACAATCAAATATTGCCTTAAAGTGAACCCAATGCCACAAACTTCACACTTGTACGGTTTTTCTCCGCTGTGTCTCTTTCTATGACTCTTTAAGCCAGAGGCTCTTGCAAACCGTCTATCGCAATCTTCACACTTGTAAGGTTTTTCTCCAGAGTGTAGTTTTCTGTGACTCTTTAGAGAGCCACTCTTGGCAAATTTAGCACCACAAACATCGCATCCGTAAGGCTTTTCTCCTGTGTGTGTTCTTTTATGAATCTTTAGATCACTACACTGTGCAAACACAGCATCACAAACTTCACACTTATAAGGTTTTTGTCCAGTGTGAGTCGTGCCATGAATCCTTAAATCTTGTTTCCGTGCAAACCGTTTATCACATACTTCACATTTGTAAGGTTTCTCTCCCGAGTGAATTATTTCATGACTCTTCAAACCGCCCGGCTCTGCAAACTGTCTACCACAGACTTTGCACTGGAAAGGCTTTTCGCCCGTGTGTTTTCTTTTGTGGCTCTGTAGTTTTATCTCATTTTTTAAGCCAACGCCACATATTTCACAGTGGTAAAGCTTTTCTTTCATAGCATGTGTTCTTTTGTGACTCTTCAGATGAATGCTCTCGGCAAACTTTTCACAGCAAACTTCACACTTGTAAGGGTTTTCTTCTAGATGAATCCGCTTGTGTCTGTTAAGGCTTCGAGCATGTATATACCCTGCACCACAAACATCACATTTGTAAGGCTTTTCTTTTTCTCCAGCACTTATTCTTTTGCCAGTCGCAGACTTGGGTCCATCAGGGACAGCGTTGCTATCTTGTCCAGGAGGAGTCTCTCTGTGCAGTTGTTGAGGTAATGCACCACCAGAAGACTGGGTACAATTAGTGGATGGAACAAGAGATTGTGAACAAGAAGTCGAAGAAAAGCCCAAGTCGGAAATGTCACTTGTGGACTGCCGAACAATATCTGGGCTGTAGTCACATGATGGCTCGTTCAACTTTACCGTAGTGCGTTCTTTTAGCGGTTTTTCTTCAGATGCCTGCGTGAAAATATGACATACGTGCTCCGTTCCCGAAGTGGTATTCGCCATAACCATCGTTATTTCGGAAGCGTAACCTTTCTGCTTCTGGCCATCATTTACTGCACTTTTGCTGCACATGTCCTTATCATACTCTCTGCTGAGATATAGATCAAAGACTTTCTTCTCCGGATTATGGATAGAAGATGTGGTTTCTTCCGAGGCACGGTCATCTTTTCTTTGATCACCTATTTGACTTGTGTCAACAACATCGCAACTAGGACCGACTCCGTGTCTCTCCAAGAGGTATTGCTGTGTTGCTGGGTGTGTGGAGGTAGCCAGACTGTGGTCGTAAGGAACGCCACCTGGAAAAAGACAAAAGTAATACACACATTATCTGACTGGTAAAATTTCTACTGTCTCCCAATAACTTGGCAGCCCACACACTCGCATACCTTTTCTTCATAGTAGCCGTTTTCTCTCAACACCATTGTCATATTCCTCTTGACAACTTTTCAAACATGCACATACATCGTGCAACAGTAGAGCACTTGGCTTTTATTGTACCAAAATTAGAGGGGATAGCTAGAACTGCTTTGTTTTATCAGAAAAAACAAAAAAACAGAAAAAAATTGTAAGTGGTTTGGGAGGGGGAGGGGAATTTAATTATGTTACACTACAGACACCATGAAATAAAAACATGCTTTTGTAAACTACAGTGTGAAACATGGATAGGTCAAACACAGAAGACTCAAAATCACACCTCCGTCAAACTGTGCCCGGGGTTTCGTTTTATTTTTCTCATTTTTCTTTGTGAGACATCCGTCGAACTACGGTTCCCTCGAAATGCAGAGGCTGGGCCAGGGTCCCGACGGATTCAAGCTATCCGTGTTACACTGTATTTCTTAATCATTCCAGCCTAATTTAAACTCTAGTATAGGTTTAACATCCTCATAAACACTGTAGTAGTGTGTGGTTCTACAGGTATACGGTATAGTATACAGCCAAAATTGTCCAAGTCCAAGACAGCCACCCATTGTCGAGGAGAAAAAGCTGGACGACTTGGACAGTGCATTACAATTTTTTTTTAACACAACGGGGAATGGGAAGTGGTCGTTTGTACAGGTGATTGTCTTATACAGGTGGTCGTTTGTACAGGTGATTGTCTTATACAGGTGGTCGTTTGTACAGGTGATTGTCTTGGACATGTGGTCGTTTGAAAAGGTGATTGTTTTGGACAGGTGGTCATTTGTAAAGGTGATTGTTTTGGACAGGTGGTTGTTTGTAAAAGTGATTGTCTTGGACAGGTGGTCGTTTGTAAAGATGATTGTTTTGGACAGGTGGTCGTTTGTAAAGATGATTGTTTTGGACAGGTGGTCGTTTGTACAGATGATCGTCTTATACAGGTGGTCATTTGTACAGGTGATTGTTTTGGACAGGTGGTCGTTTGTACAGATGATCGTCTTACATAGGTGGTCGTTTGTACAGGTGATTGTCTTATACAGGTGGTCATTTGTACAGGTGATTGTCTTGGACAGGTGGTCGTTTGTACAGGTGATTGTCTTATACAGGCGATCGTTTGTACAGGTGATTGTCTTATACAGGTGGTCGTTTGTACAGGTGATTGTCTTGGACAGGTGGTCGTTTGTAAAGATGATTGTCTTATACAGGTGGTCGTTTGTAAAGACGATTGTCTTGGACAGGTGGTCGTTTGTAAAGGTGGTTGTCTTGGACAGGTGGCCATTAGAGTAGGTGTGACTGCACACATGTAATAATTGTGTTGGACATCCAAACATAACACCCGTAGATTTATATATATATATATTAGGACAGTTTCAAATGGGTGGAGAAACTTGGAAACTCAATCTAAACAAACAATCTACATGCATACAGAAAAATTCGAGCTAGGGTCATCTTTTTGATTGTTTTACGATCGCAACTGCATAAGGCAAGGTCGTATGAGCGTGCGGGACACATTAAACATTTTCAGTTGTAGGAAATTTTGAATTTTGCATGGGTGGCCGAGGCCTACTTTTATCGATTTTAGACAACTTTTTTTATATTAAAAAAACACTTTTTGCCCCCTACACAAGTACTTTAAAAAATATAAGGCAGCGTCTAGGGAATAAGGAACAGAGGCAGACTGAAGAAAAGTTGGGAGGACAACATCAAGAATAGACAGGCCTGGAACTCAAAGACACGCTCAGATAAGCTGAAGACCGGAAAGGGTTTAGGAAGCTGGTGGCCAAATCTTCAAAAGCGCCCCGACGGACATCCAGTCTACGTGATAGGTGAAGGTGAAGGTGAAGGTGAAGGTGAAGGGAGGAGCAGAAGATTGAGCAGACACAAAGTGGAAAAAAGCGCACTGCTCTAGTAGTTCTAGTAGAGGTTTTACAGCGCTTGCAACTGCATAAGGTCAGATGAGAAAGCGCACTGCTTTTCAAACAAGTAAGAGCCTTTGCCAATAGGTGGGTACCTAAAGTGTAGCACAGAGGGTTGATGATAGAGTTTTCAATATATATATATATATATATATATATATATATATGGGTTTTACATGAATTTTTCTATTCCTGTATATATCTCCTTCTACAAAAACATGTATTTACAGACCTACAGATGGCATGCTAAGCTGTGTTAAACAACACCAAGTCAAATTCTTTTGGACATAACTATGATGACACATTTTTTAAGAATTTGGACAAACAAAATTATTTTAATTATTTTCTCATTGCTTTAATTTTCAAACATAAGTATGAAGAGCGTATATGTAAAATGGTGAGGATTGCAGAAAAAAAAATTCTGAACGTTGCCGTTTTCACATATTAAATATAATTTGTGTCATCATAGTTATATCTGAAAGAAATGAAAAACTTTCCATTATATTATCTTAATTTCTCTTTTGAAAATTTTGGCAAACAGATTCAGGAGATTCAATTTGACTCACAATGCATGTTAATGATGACAAAAAGCCACTTTATTCACATTTTTTTACTACAAATCTTCTCTGCAAAATATTAAATATCTTTCAAACATAACCATGATGAACAAAATGGACAAATCTTTTACATCAAATTGAAAAAGATCCTGAAAAGTAATTTATGGAATATAAATGTTTACAATACATCGCAGTACCAAAGTAACATAACAAGCAAATGCTACTGATACACGTATCAAAACAAATATAATGTAAGAAAAAAAGGTAAAATCAATGGGCTAACTGGTAACTTTCTAACCTCATAAACAAAAAAAGGAATTAAATTTCCCAATTAACCCTCCCATATGTCGTGTTTTACTATCGTATCCCTACAACGTGGGGAACTCTGTGCCATCACTTTCCAAAGAAGAAATTTACTCGTTCATCCGATCTGTATGCGTTGCATGGCAGTCTGTCAAAATGATTTTTTGAGAAATACTGAAAGTTTCAAAGAGATCTTCGTTCTAGAAGTATTTTCTAAAATATGAAGAGTACAACCTTGAGGGTACAAAATGACCCCAGGGTGTACGGATTAGGTTAACAACAACAGATAAAGTAGCAACATTCATCTAAATATTGGTGACAAACAAAGCCCCCAAAAGAGTTGCAGAATAGGCTAGGGGTGGGGATGAAAATGGCCGAACCACAGAATAAGCACAAACTTGAACTCTTTGGTTGCTCGCCCTTTCATTAATCCTATCCATTAAAAATAAAATGGGGTCTTTGACCTGTATTAACTTGCAGCCCCATCTTTAAAAATAGAAACCTTTTACTTTTGAAGACTCGTAAAGGATGACTGCAAAATTACGCAGGGTCTCAGTTTCGAAATCGGTCTGGGCAGAGAGTAAACAATGAACGAAACTTGCTCGTTCCTGGGCCCTAAAATAGGCCATTGAAACAAAGTTACAGGGAATAGAAATTGCCTTGCGAAATGACGCCACATGAACATCTAGAAGACTCACAATTAAAAAAGAGCACAGGAGATCTTTATTCCTGATGTAGCACCACAAATATTGTAATAGTAGTTTCAATCTAGAAGGATGACTTTCTCAGCGTTAATTTCATTGCTGAACTTGACGCGGCAAAAAAAATACAAACCCGACGCGTCACATTTGCGTTCTAAAAATACATCATTTCAGATTTTAATATATATATATATATTATATATATATTATATTTGTCTGCTCCCATAGCTGAAACACCACACTAAGCACAACATATATTTTATACAATTTGTCAAAGCTGTAGAATTATTTCTTTGTTTACAAGTGCTAGTAGAGGTTTTACGGTGCTCGCAACTGCATAAAGGTCAAATGAGCGCCAAGGGGTGGATGTCAACAGAGAAGTCCTTACAGGAAATCAGACTTACTCTCCTCACCCCTCTTGCTTCAACAGCACAAAGTCTGCTTCAACTATAAAGACACCCTGGATATAGTGGGTCACAAGAGTGTGACAAACATACAAAATTTAATAAGAAGTAGAGGGAAAAATGACAAAAGTAAGGATTAGGAAAGAAAAAGCAGTAGTTCTCTTCATTGCAGTTCAGGCACAGTTACGAGCATGACATTGATGAATCAGCACATTTACAAAATTACAATTCAACTGTGCATAAAAGGGCAAGGTCAATTAATGTCCCCCCTTTGGGAATGGTCTAAAGACTTCAGTCAGTAGCACCGCCCCGGGGGGAGGAATCATTATTATTGGAATAGGAAAGGATTTTGTAAGGTCTTTGTGATGAAACCCCCGATCTATTGGCAAAGGCTCTTTTTTAAATTAATTATCATGTGATCCCTCATACTTTTACCTTGATCTGAGCCGGCCAAGACAGCATAACCAGAATTTGCGACATTGTTTTCCAAAAGAGCTGAGTCAGCAGAAAAAGATAAAGTTGAACCGTCACCAGTTACAACATCAGCATGATCAGTGCCTGCGTGCGAACTCTGTCCTGCACACAAACTCGTCACATCAGCGATTTGCTGTTGTATTTCTTCGGCCTCATTATAACAATCCAACATTGATCCACACTCCTCTTCCAGCACTTCCTGCTTCACATTGACATTATTCTCTATTTCCTGTTTCATTTCCAGACGGTGATTAGGGAAAAGTCCAAGCTGTGGTTCATCTTTCAAAACACAAGTACATTTCACACACGTTACTTTAGTCTCTATGTTTTCTTCTCCCTGCTTCACATTAAGTCTATCATCATCTAGATCTAGTTCAGTCTTCACTTCTGGACAATGATTAGGGAAAAGTCCAAGCTGTGGTTCCTCTTTCAAAAAACAAGTCGGTCTACATTTCTGACACTCTTCAGTCTTTGTGTTTTCTTCTTCAGGAAATGAAAACAAGGGCTCGTCTCTATCAATCTCAATGTCAATACATTCGTTTTCGACAGGCTGGCAGACATCAGTTACATCGCATGGTAGGTCTGCTTCAACATCTTGCTTTATTTCTCCTTTGAAACTTTCACTTTCAATAGCTGCAGGTTTTTCCTCTTCAAGTTCAAGCATGGAGCTAGAACCAAACTCTTCTTTTACCACAGACTCCCCACTCCTGATGTCAGGTTTTACAGGATCTCTATCAGTACTATCACTATCACTGCTACAACAAGACCTAGGAGAACCACAGGGTTCAGTTTTCACAACAGGAAAAACATCAGGCTTTACGTCTTCACCATTATCAGTGGGTGTACAGACATTAAGTTGACAACACGATTCTTTTTCCATAGCACTGTCATCATTAAAATCTTGTCCTGAGGAAAACATTGTATTCTCCTTCCTCTTTTTATCCACATTCAACATGTTTCCTTGTTTATCAAACTTAACCCTGCTGTATTTGTCAAAATTAATTTCTGCCACACAACAGTCACAGGGTGAGAAAATTTATCAGTAATTTAGATTCTAGATCAATAGCCTATAAATAAAAGTTCAGAGGCTTTTTTCAATTAAAAAAAAAATTCTGATCCAAGGCAAGGTTCATGTCATGTCATGCAATTTGTTCCACTCAGACTCAGAACCTCCAGACTCTAGATATCTAGAATCTAGACTAGTGTAGTACTTGTGACTTGTCTTAGAAGTGTTCCCATTGACATTGCCACTGCTGCTAACAAGAGACTCTCCCCTGGGACTCTAGGCCTAGTCTTCTGGTAGGCTATAGTAGGTCTCTATAGTCTGTAGATCTTGTAGATAATAACATAGCCGAGTCTAGGCCAAGAATGTAAACATGATTGTTTGTTGTCATAGACTCAGATTCAGATCATGCCGTCATGCCGATCTAATATTGAACAAACACTCCATGACTATGACAACGTTGCCATGCTATTTCAAGCACAAATTTGAAGCTGCTGTAACACGAAAGATTCTCTACTGTGGTCACACCACTCTCGACAGTCTTTTATTGGCTTTATTTTGGTTTTAGATCTGTTATTCGTTAATTATTATGCAGGCAGGAAAGGAAGACGATTTATGCAAGCAAGAACTGAAAAACCGGATGTGGAGAGTGTACAACAGTTTTAGCAGTAAACCTAGAAAAATAGCATTCGTAGGCAAGGAGATTAAAAGTAATGGAGGATGCTCTGTGGGCGGCGCCTGATAGGAGCCCTCTCTCGCGGCGGAACCGTGGCCTACCTGCGCTGCGCGATTGCCCGACTAAGGCACTGAAATCTAGGCTAGATAAGAAAGAAGGTTTTATTCCGAGGTCCTTGAGATTAGGCAAGTCAATTAGTAAAAAAGCCTTGCACCTGTGTTGTATTTAAGTGTAAGAACCGATGTGATGCTGCAGTGGACCGAAGTTTTCACAGTTAAGTTGTTTCCCTTTTTAAAAAATTGAATGAAAGTGTTTCTATGCTCCCAGCAACACAATTTAAATCATTAATACGGCTGGCGCTACATGCCAAGGCCAACCCAGGCTGAAAGGGATACAACACCCCAGCAGAAAGACTGAGATACTCAATTTTTTAAAAGTATTCTTATTCATAAATATATATATATAATTATTATGAGTATATATAATTATTATGTGTGTGTATGTATATACACATTATACATTTTAATTAAAGATGTTGCTTTCCTTTGTGTGTGCAAATTGGATGCTGCTGTAGTCTAAATGTAGATATCTAGAGGCTCCATTAGAACATGAAATCAATACTCAACAACAATAATGATGAATATTTTATATTTTAAGCTAAGGAACAGTGGAACTCGGATTCAACGAGGTCGCCGGGCCTGAACCTAAAATCTCGTTGAATTTGAGTGTTCATTATTATGGCAAACACGATGTTTTGTGTAGATAATTACAAGCACTGAGCAAGCAATTTATAAAGAGAAGTCACAAGTAGTGCCTGAAATGCCTACATATTATGAGCTGCGTCAAAAAAAAAAAAGATCGATTCGTTCAAATTGCACACGCCTGTGTCATCTCGATTGTTTACCAAAAGGTTGTGTTGCTGTGTAGAGCCTAGCATACGGCAACTTTTGATTCCATAGACCGGCACACAATTCATTACGTAGATCTACGTCAAGACTAGCTTATCATTGTAATATTATTATAATGATCAGTTGCCAAGGGGGAAAAAAAAGACTGACGCGTTTGTCTGTCTGCGACGTTCAACGCCCGGACCGCTAGTGCCCCCAACCCCCTCCCCTTCCCGACACAGTCACACGTGTGGAGGCCGCCCATTCGACCCAGACACACGCTAGAGTAGACACGTGCACGTGCCAACAACGCATGTGTTGGTATGAAAAAAGGTCGCTGATTGGTCGCATGCAATCGACTAAGTGAATACTGATTCACGATGCAAGTGCAATGGATGGTATCCAGGAATAGATAACGTTTGTTCTGGGAGAAAAATGAGCGAAGCCACGTCCCCGGGAGCTGTTCACCCTGGAAGCGACCTCGTTGAATCCGAGCTCGTTGATTTAAGTGCTCGTTAAATCCGAGTTATTCTTATTGATTTTAAAGAAGAAAAAAAACGGGGAATCTATCTCATCTCGTTGAATCCGAGTTCTCGTTGAACCCGAGCTCGTTAAATCCGAGTTCCACTGTAACTAATCTTTGGCGGCTATTTTCTCGGTAATTTTTCTTCTGAAAACAGGTGACCCCCACCTCATTCATTCGCCAATATCTCGACTTGCATTCAAGATAAATTGATATTTTTTTCATCTAAATAAAGATAAGTAAGTGACCAAGCTTGAAGATGATCAATAACTCTACATGCCCCAAAATTGACGAGAGCCTGATTCCACCACGCTGCCTCACATATATATATATGTATTTACTCTGTCTCATTACAATGTCGATCACAATTCCAAAATGTACAGGTGATAATATACAGCCTTGTCTAACACCAATACAGACCGAAGGGCTAGAACCCAAATGGCCGCTGGATCGGAAAATAAAAGTAAAGTAAAGTAAAGTCTAACACCAGTGTTTACTACAAAAGGTGTAGAGATATAGTTCTCAGTCAACTAGGACACAACAGCTTGTATTGGTAATAATGATCTTATGCTTTTTGTAATTTTTGTTGGGATTTTTCTCAGGGCCTCTCGACCTATGCTGCCAAAGGCTTTTTCTAAAGTCCACAAAGTTCAAGATAATTGGAGACATTCTATTCTTTGATTTCTTCTTCGCTATCTCTCAGAACAAAAAGTTGATCTGTACATGATCTCCCCCATCGAGAACCCGACTGTTCCTCTCTTCTTAGTCTCTCACTACACAAATGCAATCTATTATTATTATTATTATTATTATTATTATTATTATTATTATTATTATTATTATTATTATCATTATCACCATTATTATTATTATAATTATTATAATTATTATTATTATTATTATTATTATTATTATTATTATTTTTAGTGTGAAATTCAAGATCGTAAATAGAAAGTAACAGAAGATGACTCGAATAAAAGAAAACTTTTACGAGTGTGAATTTTGTGGTGCAAGGTTTGCAGAGGACAGCAGTCTTCAGATTCAGAGTGACAAAAGAGTACACTGGAGAAAAACTCTACTTTCCAAATAACTGCAATACTTTTCAACATTGTTTAATAAGACTATACTGGTACCCATTGACGACAGAGACGTTATAGGTTAAGAACAAGGTGACTGAAGATTTCTTATCATGTGAGTGTTATTTGTCACGATTTGTTTGCGGATGGTTGGAAGGCGCCATTAGTTGGTCCTATTTTTTTGTTGCTTTCCCTCGTTATTTCTGTCTGTCCGTCTTACTTTCCCCAGTAGGCCTACTACTACTACTACAGTGGAAACCATATATAACAGGCCCAGTAATAACAGGGATCCGGTAATAACAGGGATGTTTAAAATCCCCGTTTTTTCCTACTCTTTGTCTCTATTAAAAGTTATCGGCAATAACAGGACCTCATCGGAGCCCAACCGGTTATAGCAGGGACAAAGGCTCGTTAACAATGTGTAAAAGGTAAGACAGAGAGAGAGAGAGAGAGAGAGAGAGAGAGAGAGAGAGAGAGAGAGAGAGAGAGAGAGAGAGAGAGAGAGAGAGAACGACTGGTCGGCCTAGATCTAAGCCTACTTCTTTCTTTATGTCACCAACGATGTCAAGCGCAAGAGAAAATGCTTTTCAATTGACAAAAAATACGAAATAATCCAGACTGTTGACAAAAAGCAAGCTCCACTGGAAGAGATTTGTCGTCAGTTCGACATTACACAAGGATTGATTCACACCATTATCAAGGATAGAGAGAAGATAGTGGCAGCATACTCCAATGGAAAGTTTGCTCTGGATCGAAAGAAGATGAGACTACCCGGTGCAGATGCTGTGGACCAAGCTCTTCTGATGTGGTTTAAGGAGGCAAGGAGAAAGTTGGTGCCAAAATCCCTGTTCGTGGGTACTTGTGGCTAGGGAAACTACCGAGGATCGGATATAACAGGACTTTTTCTCTACTCCCATCATCCCTGTTATATCACTAATATCAGGTTTCCACTGTATATATATTTATATATATATACATATATATATATATATATATATATATATATATATATATATATATATATATATATATATATATATATATATATATATATATAATATGTCTGTTTGTCATTGTAATCCAAGTGTCCCCATGGAGATCAATAAAGTGTTTGATATACATGATGTAGGCCTACTTATGTTATTTATTTTATTTATATTTTTATCTTAACTAAAGTATAATTTATATTCATATATAGATAAATGGGTCATGCTACGACCTATTTGTTTTACAACATACTAACATAGTTGATTCGGTCCACCAAGCTATTGGTACACTTTCACTTATGACAGCGGGTGGTTGGTTGGAGGGTGCCGCTGGTATAGGTCCTACTTTTTTGCTTTCCCTCTGTTGTTTCTGTCTGTCTTAAACTTTTTATCGGCACTAATATTACTAATTTATACTAAAAGATGAATCTATTATATTTGATGTTCTTCTCTTTACTCAAAGAACAAACCAGCAGTGGGTGGTTGGATGGCGCCACTTGTAGGTCCTACTTCTTTTTTTACTTTCCCTAACTCTGTTATTTCTGTTTGTCTCTCCTACTTTTTCCCTGCTCTAATTGACCATAATAGTGTCCATGCCAGTCATGTGCTTCTATCTACTCTAACAAACAAACAAGAACTGTGGAGAAAACCATTTTTTGTACAGATGATAGATTTACCTGAGTGTTATTATCTACTTGCTTTTTCACTTTGGCTGATTTTCATCTCTAGATATGTGTCGCTGCGACTGTCTCAGTTGCTGGATCGGAAAAGTAAAAGCGACTGTCTCATTACTCTACTCATGAGTAGCTGATGAATTCCTGAATTCCTGGGGTCGCAAAGTTGTGAGATCTCTTGTGTGATTGTTGCAGTTGTAGTATTTTGTGTGGGTTTTTTTCTTACCTTTCTTTGACCACACAGCTACTAAAGATCTGTTAGGACTGACTTGCAGAAGGGAGGAATGTCCTCAGCTTTCTTCCCATGAGCTTTTTAGATACCAGCCAGTGTGGCTTGATTTGTCTATTGTGCGGAATTGAGTAGATGTAGCCTATATGCTTAGACTCAGAGATAGAGATCAGGTGGTCGCAGGGCACCACTGCTAGTGCTAGGTCCTACTTCTTAGCTTTCCACGTGTTCTTTTTGTCAGTCTGTCTTACTTTTCCCCAGCACTAAATGATCTTTATTAAAATGTGTCGATGTGCTTTTCTGTACGGTATGTACTCAAACAAATAAACCACTGGTTTTCTGAGTGGTAGGTCCTACTTCTTAATCCTATCCTGTTGTTTCTGTCTGCCTGACTTACTTTTTCCCTGGCACTAAATCATCCAAATCCAATGACCTTTACACTGTATGTGTTTCTGTGTACTCAAACAAACAAATCTGTGGCAGATCCTACTTCTTAACGTTCCCTGTCTGTCTTACCTTTTCCCGGCACTAGATGATCATTAAATTGATCTTGTGCGTGTACATAGTACATGTATTGTGTCGATGTGCTCAAACAAATTTAAAGCAAACAAGAGACAGGGATCCTTGCTGCTGCCCTTTGCCTTCGCAAGAATCTGTTTCACTGTCTGCATGGCATGGTCCTCTCTACAAAGAAGGGGCATAATTAAAATCAAGTACATGTATCGTGTTTCAAGACTCTTATCCTCCTTTTTAAAAAAGCAACTGATAGTGATAGGCCTACTCTTCCAAATAGATCTAGATCTAGTTCACAGTCAATTCTTTAGACTTTACGGAAATCCTATTTTGACATCTATGCATGATGTTTGTTTTTAATACAGTATCTCTTGTCTTTAACTTTAAATTTGACGTACCCCGCAGATTACGAAATTAATTACTTTTGACCCAGGGACTCGAAAGTGTCGTACGAATTCTCTCTTTTTAGACTGCCAAAACTGTTGTAAGCTTACTAGTTACTAGCCTAGACAACCGTCGCAGACTTCGCTACTTCGCATCCGGTCCATTCGCCAGAGCTGTGAAAAAAAGCGTTCCTCCTGCAATTTTCTAAACTTTGATGATGAAATGTGAAGTTCTGTTGTCTTTTTATCATCACCATAGTTGTTTTTTCAGTTCCTGATCAATTTAGTTCCACGTTGTCTTAAATAACATTTGTATGAAACCGTTTTGAATAATGTGCAATGTTGTATTTTCGGACAAGAAGTAAGTGACCAGTGGCAGTGGCACTTTCTTGAACAGTCTTCAGACCCCAGTGTGGACTGGTGTGACTGATTCAGATGATTATCGAGTAGTGCTGATGATGATTTGAAATACAATTTAGATTAGTCTAGATTTAGACTGTTTAGCAAGTTTTTGTTAGTGTCTACATTGTTGGATTTTCCTGTTGCCAACGGGCTAGGCTAGGTAGGCCTTTAACGACTGTGTCTTTCTAAGGCAGGCAGGCTTAGGTTAGGGCTAGGGCTAGATCTAGGCCTAATCACTAGATGATCTGGGCTAATGGAATCCTTTTAAAAACTTTTTTAGAACCTTGTACTTGTACTTCAGGCTTTAGGTTTTATATTTTTTAAAATTCAGGCCTTAGACTTAATTAGTAGGCCTAGATCTACTTTCATTGTCTCTGTACTAAAACTGTCACTGGTGGTGTATAAGTATAAGTTGGAGGACAGAACTAAGACCAAGTTTAGAACAAATGTTTTAGTCTCTATTTTATGTTGAATATGAACAGAAAAAAGAAGGCAGAGACAATGTTTTCCTTGGGACATATTAATGACGGAAGTCTGATGGAAAAAGAACAATCATGTTGTGAACCTTTCTGTGCACCAGTTATAGATGAAGACATAAAGCCTGATGTTTCTCCAGTTGTAAAACGTGAACCTGGGCTTGGTTCTTCTACATCTAGGCCAAGGTTTCATTGTACTTGTAGAAGAAATGGGACCGAAAGTGATGTAAAAGTTGACATTGGAAGCGTTGAGACCGTCGTAAAAGAAGAGTTTGGTTCTTACTCTGTGCCCAATCTTGAAGAAGAAAACGCTTCTTCTGGTGATAGCGGAAGTTTTGATGGAAAAATAAAGCATAATTTTGAAGGACCATGCAATGCTACTGATGAGGTCAGACAGACTGTTGAAAACAAATGTATTGACATCAAAATTAAAGACGAGCCTTTGTTTTTGTTTCCTGAAGAAGACATAACACCAAAAATTAAAATGAGTCCGAAAAGTGCTGATGTTGTGGAAGACGAACTCCAGTTTCCTGATCATAGTCTGGAATTAAAATTAGAAATACAGAATTATTATGTGAAGCAGGAAGTGTTGGAACAGGAGTGTGTATCCACGTTGGATCGTTCCAGTGAGGCTGGAGGAATACAACTGAAAATCTGTGATGTGAAGAGTTTGTGTGCGGAGCCGAGTTCAAACCCAGACACTGATGCTGTTGTGTCCACGGTCAGCGGCTCTACTTCTGATGATCCAGCTCTTTTGAAAATGAAATACGGCATCGCAAGCTCTGCTCAATGGGGCATTGAGGATCAAGGTAAAAATACATTATATTTATATTAAATATTAAAATATTTATACGATCACATATATATATCATGTAGAATATCAAAATATTATGACTAATTATGTAGTGTTTTGAGTTTCTGTGTGCTGTCGGCATTGCTGATCGTTCATGACATCACAGTGCAAGGAGAGAGAGAGAGAGAGTGATAATGTGTATAGCAGTTTGAATTTTGATAAAAAGATCTGTTTCCCTACAAGACACACTTTAGTCCAGACAGGGAACGCTATTTTGAATTTTAAAGGGGCAGCTTTGTTATAATTTTTCACCACTTTTAGTTTACCCAAGTGGAAGAACTTTTGACTCTAGGTTTTCATTTTACACTCAAACACGGATAACAGGACAGACGGGATCGCAAGCGAGTCCTGTTATAACCGTTATCAAGGGAAATTACCAGTACCATTGCACCTTCAGCTTACTATTATTATTATATTATATATCTTTTTCCAGTGGGCTGTTTTGCCGACACTGAGACGGAATCGATCAGTGACCCCCAACAAACTGGGCGGGGGGTTTGAAAGTTTGTGTATTGGCAAGCGGTCATAAAAACAGGCGAAATGTCCTGATTGAGACAAATATTAATTATAATTTGATGGATCGAAAGTAAGTTCATACGCTTGCATGGTCACTGTCCGAGTCTGCGCAAATTGAACCCTGTTACATATATATATATATATATAACACAGCCAGGTTCACATTACTTACACTGTTATAATAGAGAAATAAAACGGGGGATTTGATTTATATATATATATAATATATATACATATAATATATATATGTTTATATCCTATATATTCAAATTCGGTGTAAATACATTTGTTTTAGATCACAAATGTATTTACACCGAATTTGAATATTTTAACTTTTTAGCATTTTAAAGTAAACTAGTTACCAGTCGTGAAGTGAACTTTCGCAGAGGTGAACAACTTGTGTTTCGCGCGCTCATATGACCTTAGCAGTTGCGAGCGCCGTAAAACCTTATACTATAACATATATATATATATATATGTGTATATATATATATATATATATATATATATATATATATATATATATATATATATATCTCTCTCTCTCTCTCCAAGTTCCTGTAATTACAGAGGCTGTTGTAAATGGACTAGATTTGGAAATGCAGTTTGCTTTTTTAAAAACTTTAGTTTTCTCTGCACTTGACACTTGATCTTCATCCAGGGTGTCCATGCCCTGTGTGTGTGTGTGCGCGTGCGTGTGTGTGTGTGTGTGTATCTGGGATCATTGTACTGTAAATATCTAGATTTAGAGACTAACCCAGAATGGGGAAAGGTGGAAAGTGTTTGTTCGTCCCGTATACATACACCCTGATGCAGGGTGAGAAAGGCATTGGTGATGGTACTGAATTTAAAAAACCTATGGTACATTTAAAAACAAGGAAAGGTAGATAACATACATTACAATATAATTTGTTTGTTTTTTTGCAGGTGGGATTCCTGACAAGCAGGCAACCTCCACACACCCAGCAACACAGCCATACCTTATGGGGGAGGATACTTTTGGGACAGGTCAAATGATTGATCAAATAGAAATTGACTGTGTCTTGGAAGAAACCACATCTTCTTTTATCCATGACCCAGACAAGAAAGTCTTTGATCCCCACATCAGCAGAGAGTATGATAAGGAAATGTGCAGCAAAAATGTAGTGAATGATAGTTGTCGGCAGAAGCAGACAGGTTACACTTCTGAAGTAACGACGACAATGGCAAATACCAATACTATGGACGTTTGTTGCGCTCACTCTTCTAGTGTTACAGCACCTCAGCTGCACACAGAGACCCACACTGGCCAAGACAGCGCCACTCCACCTGTTGGACTTGAGTTTGTGACTGGTAGAAGAACTAGAGCTGGAGAAAAACCTTACAAATACAAATGTGAGGTTTGTGGTTCAGAGTTTTCACAGAAAGTCCAGTTGAAGGTTCACAAAAGAACACATACTGGAGAAAAGCCTTACAATTGTGAAGTTTGTGGTGCAACGTTTTCACGGATTGGCCACTTACAGATTCACAAAAGAAGACATACTGGAGAAAAGCCTTACAAGTGTGAAGTTTGTGGTTTACAGTTTGCACAGAGTGTCCAGTTGAAGATTCACAAAAGAACACACACTGGAGAAAAGCCTTACAAGTGTGAAGTTTGTGGTTCAAGCTTTTCACGGAATGACCACTTAAAGGTTCACAAAAGAAGACATACTGGAGAAAAGCCTTACAATTGTGACGTTTGTGGTTTAAGGTTTGCACAGCGTGGCAGCTTAAGGATTCACAAAAGAACACACACAGGAGAAAAGCCTTACAATTGTGACGTTTGTGGTTTAAGGTTTGGGAATAGCAGCGCCCTGAACCGACACAAAAGAACACACACTGGAGAAAAACCTTACAAATGTGAAGTTTGTGGTTCATCGTTTGGGGATAGTTGCATCCTGAAACAACACAAAAAAATACACACAGGAGAAAAGCCCTACAAGTGTGAAGTTTGCGATAAGCGGTTTACTCAGCGTGGCAATTTAAAAATTCATGAAAGAACACATACAGGAAACAAGTGGGAAATCTGTGGAATTGTGTTCGTGCCGATGAGTAATCAAGAGAACCATAACACATAGTAGGGACAGGAGAAAACCCGTACAAGTGTGAAATCTATGGAATTGTGTTCTTGCAGATGAGTAGTGTAAAGATTCACCAAAAAAAACCACACACACTGGATAAAAACCTTACAGGTGTGAAGTTTGTGGTGCTAAAGACTCACCACCGAGGAATACACGCTGGAGTGAAGCTTTGCAAGTGCGACGTTTGTGGTGCAGGATTTGCAAATGGTGACGACCTGAAATAACACAAAAGCACACACGATGGAGAAAAACTTTACAAGTACAAGTGTGAAATCAGTGAAACTACGTTCTCGTGAAAGAGCAATCTGCAGACATGTGATGGTGAGATTGCGATTTCAGGGGTTTGAGCATCAGCTCGGTCCGACATTGAGTCCTTGGAAAAGGCACTTCTTGAATTTCTTATTTCACTCTGTCTTTTCGGAGATGGGTGTTAAAATACTCGGAGGTCCCACGACTTAAACATGTTGTGTTGATGGGGGCTTAAACGTATACCATTTTACCATTTTAGATGTTTTCTGTCAACCCCTCCTTTATGAACTGGGTCAGTATCTCACACTTCTCGTCTGCTAACCCTCCGTTATGAACTGGGTCAGTATCTCACACTTCTCGTCTGCTAACCCTCCTTTATGAACTGGGTCAGTATCTCTCACTGCTGCACTCACCTGCCAGCTGGAGACGTTTTAGACCCCCCGGGGCAGTGCCACTGACTGAAGTGTCTTTAGGCCATTCCCAAAGGGGGGACATTTCTCATTCAAGCATAGTAGAATTGTAAATGGGCTGACTCATGTCACGCTCATAACTGTGCCTGATCTACAACAGGGAACTGCTGCTTTTTCTTTCCTGATCCTTACTATTGTCATTTCCTCAACTTCTTTTGTATGTTTGTCACTCTCTTGTGACCTGCTATTTCCGGGGTGCCTTGATACTTTAGTCGAAGCAGACCTTGTGCTGTTGAAGCTAGAGAGGTGAGCAGTCTAAACCTGATTTCCTGTAAAGACTTCTCTGTTGACACCCACCCCTTGGCACTCATATGACCGTATGCAGTTGCGAGCGCCGTAAAACCCTCTCCTATTAAAAAAAAAAGGAGACGTTTTATTTCTTCCAACTTCTCAAGGGACACAGCGGCTTTCTGTATCTAGTATCACATGCAGTGTCAACAAATGCATCCATTTAATTTTTCTCCTCTCCGAGAAATTTTTGTTTTTTGCTCGAGTCTCCACAATTAATGAAAGCATCAGACACTCGTCCCTGACACATCTTACCCCCTTCAGGGAGGTGAAGCCGTTCTGTATCGGATGCGACACAGATTTTACCATTAGACACATTTTGACAGAATGTCTAGACTTCGGAGAGACCCGAAGGAAATATTTTAGATGCAAAAGATTGCAAGGTCTGTTTTCCGTCGTTGATTCCAACAGAATTCTGGATTTTATAAAAGCCATTGGCCTTTATATGGCAAGTTGCTGATGGAATTGTTAAAAAATTTTAATGTTTTTTATAAAGTTGTTTTAAATTATTTACATCAAATTTTTAGTAGGCCTATTTTAGCATTTTCATTTTGATAGAGGGGTTGAGCAGAATCGGGCTATGCAGTGTACTGTTGCAAACAGAACCAACCTTTTTTCGCGCGCTCAGGTGACCTTATGCAGTTGCGAGCGCCGTAAAACTCTTACTAAAACAAATGACAGAGAGAAAGAGTGGGTGGTTGGCGGGTGCTCTGGTGTGGTTTGCTTCTTCTTTCCTATACTCTGAAACATCTATATATCGTCCTTATCTCCCCTTCTTCTTTTTTATGTTTGTTACTCTCTTGTAACGCCTCTAATCTTCTGGCGCTCATATAACCCTATGCAGTTGCAAAATCTTACTAAAACAAATGACTGAGAGAAAGAGCCTAAAGGTTAGAGTTAGAGATTATTTTGTTTCATTGTTTTCAAAGAGGTTTACTAAATGAAAAAACAACAACTTTACTACATGTAATGAAAAGACAAGACCATCAACACGAACTGTTAAATGTTAAATTAAAGCATGGAAAAAAAGCATGGCAGACAAATAGAAACACCTTGAATCATGGTAGATCTAAGCTTCTGAGAGCAATACAAAAACATGTGGCCAACACCCCCTCCCCCCCCCCCCCCCCCCCCTTCCATTTTCAAAAGTTATAGAAAAAAAAAACAAAAAGCCACTCCGGTTCGGAATAGGGCCTGCTTCGTTCTTTCCCCCGGGTGTTTCGGTTTTTCTGTCGGCCTTTTCCCCACCACTAAACTGTCCCCATCGTTTTTGCAAGAAAAAATTCTAAAATTATGCAAACTGAGCCCAAAAGATGGGAAATTTTTTGTTTCTTTTATTTTTAACAAAGAATGTTTTTTTAAGGAAAATATTCAGAAATTATGCAAAAAAATTATCAATTTTTGCTAAATTAGGCGGGGGGCATAAAACCCGGGGGACAGACTAAAGTAAATGCGGGGTTTTTTTTGTCCAAATGTGCTTCTCGTTCCCCACCAACCAAACGAATCCAAGCAAACCCATGAATTTTTGAAATTTTGTGTCCACCAAAGCAAACCCAAGACTTTTTTTATGAGAATGATTCTGACTAGTCTGGGGGGGTCCAAACATGCAGGGGGGGCGGCCCCAAAATAATGTCAAGTAAGTTTTGATGATGCGGGGTTTAGAGGGGGGGTTTCCCTGAGCTGGTTCCTTCTAAAGCCAGGGATGCCAAATGTCCTGTTTTTCCAGGGGGGGGGGGGGGGGGGGTTCATCCTTTGGAATTGCAAAGGAAAGGGGAGGGGTAAGAGTAAGAGAGAATATGTTTTTGTTTGCTCATTTTAAAAAAAAAAGCTTTACAAGGTTCGGTTTGGTTGAGATGTGATGCTCCACTCATTTTCAGGTGTTTTTTTCAAAAATCATTTGGCATCCAGGGTAAAGAAAACACCAGGGCGCTGTACAGTGATGACCAGCAATGGCATGTTTGTAAAATTGTTCCCTCTTGGTGTAATGTTGAGTATATTTGCTGACATGTTGGCCTATTCTTGGTTGTGTGTACCATTATATAAATGTAGCCTGTTTTACTAGTTTTAGTTTTAAAAAGTTACAATTATTACAATGTATGTTATGTTTGTTTGTTATTGTAATCGGAGATCAATAAATTGTTATCCGGCACATATGTATTTATTTTATTTATTAAATTTTATTTCTACTGTTTATTTAATTATAGGGTAGGTTCTACTTCTTTACTTTCTCTCTGTTGTTTCTGTGTGTCTATCCATCTTACTTTTTCTCAGCACTAATATTACTAATAAATGAACATCAGTGTGCTTCTCTTTACTCAAACAAACAAACGGCCGGTGGTTGGAGGACGCCACTGGTGGTAGGTCCTACTTTTTTACTTTCCCTTTGTTATTTTTGTCTGTCTGTCTTTGTGGGTGGTTGGCGGGTGCTCTGGTGTGGTTTGCTCCTTCTTTCCTATCAAACATCTGTCGTCCTTATCTCCCCTCCTTCTTTTTTGTGTTTGTTACTCTCTTGTAACAGTAACACCTCTAATCTTCTGGCGCTCATAGTCATATGACCTTATTCAGTTGCGAGCGCCCTAAAACCTCTACTAAAACTAAAACTGTCTTTCTTTTTTTTTCAAGCACTAATTAATAACACTAAATCTATTATTTTATTCGATGTGCTTCTCTTTACTCAAATATAAACAAACAAACGGTGGGTTGTTGGCTGGTGCTCTGGTGTGGTTTGCTTCCTCTTTCCTATCAAAAACGTCTATCGTCTTTATCTCCACTCCTTCTTTTTTGTGTTTGTTACTCTCTTGTAACACCTCTAATCTTCGGCACTTATAATAACTTACAGCGGAACTCGGATTCAACGAGGTCGCTGGGCCTGACCTAAAATCTCGTTGAATCCGAGTTTTCGTTTATAGCAAACTCGAGGTTTTGTGTAGATAATTACAGGCACTGAGCAAGTAATGTATAAAGAGAAGTCACAAGTAGTGCTTGAAATGCCTGCATATTATGAGCTGGGTAAAGAGAGACCGATTTGTTCAAATGCACACATCTGTGTCATCTTGATTGTTTACCAAAAAGCTGTGTTGCTGTGTAGAGCCTAGCATACGGCAACTTTTGATTCCATAGACGAGCGCACAATTCATTACGTCCCCCCCCCCCCCCCCTTCCATGTTTCAAAAGTTATAGCGAGATGTTGGAGAGCGCCACTCGGGTCTGGATAGGTCCTGCTTCGTTACTTTCCCTCGGTTGTTTCGGTCTTCTGTCTGACTTTTCCCCAACACTAAACTGTCCCCATCGTTTTATGCAAGAAAAATTCTAAAATTATGCAAACTGAGCCCAAAAGATGTGAAATTATTTGATTCTGTTAATTTTAACAAAGAATGATTTATTAAGGAAAATAATCAGAAATTATGCAAAAAAATTATCAAATTTTGCTAAATTATGCGGGGTGCATAAAACCACGGGGACAGACTAAAGTAAATGCGGGCGTTATTTTGTCTCAATGTGCTTCTCGTTACACAACAAACAAACGAATACAAGCAAACACATGAATTTATGAAATTATGTGTACAGCAAAGCAAACACAAGACATTTTTTATGAGAATGAGTCTGACTAGTCTGAGTGAGTACAAACATGCAGTGAGTGCAGACTCAAAATAATGTCAAGTAAGTGTTGATGATGCGGGGTTTAGATGGGGGGTGTCACTGAGCTGTGTCCTTCTAAAGACAGGGATGCCAAATGTCCTGTTTTTCCAGG